AATTTTATTTTATATATATATATATATATATATATAATACATATTTCTTTTTAATTTCAATTATCTTTCTTACAAAATTATGAACAGTACGTACCTCAGTATACAATAAATACCATAACTTACATTCAGGAAAATTTTGATACTTTACAAAGGTTCTCTCAACAGCTTCGATAGCTGCTTTAATTAATATTATATCACCATTTGATTTTGCGATACAATAATCCAGGCAACATTTTTGTATGTGTGCTGTGATGAAGTTTGGATTGTATTCAAGAGCCTTTTCAAAATCAAGTTTAGCTTCGTTTTCTCTGTGCATAAATACATGTGCCTGAGAAAACGAAGTAGTGTTTATATTATAATATGTACATCTAGGGTGCGTTCAGAATCGTCGTCTGGATGCACCCAGGTGTGGCTTTATCCTTGTTCACGAATGATAAACAAGGATAACATGACACCTGGGTGCACTTAGATGATGATTCTGAACGCAGCCCTATATGTGTGAAAAAAAATATGCTCAATGTTAATGTTCATAATACCCATCCTCTATGATAATAGATGTCGCTACATGTTGAATTTATACTAATGGCCAATTCAAAATCCTCGAAAGACTTTTCGAAATACTTTAATTGCATATGTAAGTCCGCTCTCTTTATCAGGACGTTTATCCTTAAGTCATCGGACAAATCTTCGTTGCTCAGAACGTTTTCAAAATCTTGAATTGCAGCACTATAATCTCCCATAAGTAAGTAAAATGTAGCTCGTAATAATAGTATCTCTAATTTAGTTGAAGATAATGTCTCAAATTCCGGACTTTTAATAATTTCCGTACATAACGGTATTATATCATCATATTTCTGATCCTTGAATGCTTTAAACGGTTTCTTGAAAAATCTGATAGATTAAAAAAGTGAACATTAAAGTTCATTACACAAAACAATTTTTTACCTATACTTAATTACTTACTCTGGAATATTTTCTGGACATTGAAGTCTACAAAACACTGGATCCTTAGAGAAAGTCATAAAATATAATTCAATCGAATATTTAATTGGCATAAGTAACTTTTTTTGCATCCAACTTTCTTCAGCGCATTGTATTTCTAAAAATAATTTTTACGGTAAAATCAAATTTTTGATTTAATTCATTTTATCTTAATTTTTAATCTAATTTACCGAGGACAGTATTATATTTAAGACTACGTAGTTTGATATGTAACTCACGAAACTTGTCCAAGACCTTATCTGCCTTTGAAAGAGAAACATGATCAGAAAATCCTTCGTCAACACACACTGCAATCCAATCTTTTATGGCGGCTTCCAAATCTCCAATTTGCTCCAAAACATGTGCCCGACGTCGGAAAGCTTTCGTATATTCTGGATTTAGTTCCAACGCTTTTGTGCAATCTGCTTTTACAGAACTATATTTTTTCTGTAAATTGTAATTACAATTGTATACATACTAATACACTATCGTAAACTTCAACATTCAATTAAAACTATATTTTTATGTTATGTTCTTATTATCAATATCACCAATTTTATTACCAACTGCTCATACGCAGCAGCTCTGTTTTGATAAAAAATTGCAAGATTCGCGACATTTTCCTTTGGACAGATGTCGACAGCTTTATTATACTGAACTATAGCTTCATTCTGCTTTCCCATTTTGAAATATACATTTCCTACGTTGTTATACTTCTGCGCTTTTTGTAAAAAAGTCTAAAAAAAAAAAGAGTTTACTTAAACCAGACAAAAACTTTCTACAGTACATCATTTATACACGCACGCACACAATGTCTCTATAAGGGGTATTATGAGTGTATTTCACGTAAACAAGAGAATATATTTCACACAAATTCTAAAAGAGACTGTAAAAGTCTCGATTGAACGAAAGATCCATTATCGTGCAAACCACGTATTCAATTATCTCACTATCATGAAGTTCAACAATGCTTCTAAATAACATTATTTAGAAGCTAAAAGGCATCGAAAAATACAACATTAATAAATATGCAAGGTATTCTTTTTTAACTGTGGATAAATAGATTTTCGTTAAACCAATTGTTTTGAAATAAAATAGTTAGTCTTGACCTCCAGTTGGACAGCGGAAGAAGTCCTTTTAAGCCAATCGGGTTTTTCCACATTTTGAATTTTGATAAAATCAGAAATCGACCGAAGAATTGGAGGAATGCTTCCTAATTCATTCTTTACATCAAGTTGTACTTTTGCAGAGTTTCTCAAGATGTATATTTGTAACAATTCCTTGTATGTACAACAGAATATTAAAGCCTTATCAAGTAATTTTATTGCTTTTTCAAAATTTTCTCTGAAAATAATTAACACAAAATATTTTCATTGTATCTTGAGAGATTCTTTATGTAAGTTACATATGTAATTGCATTTGGTTTATTTTCAAATTCCAATGTATAAAAATTATTAAAAACAATTAAGCTGGAAACATACCTTCGAATTTCAAGTTTTCCTAATTCTTTATATGCAGTCTCGCATTTGTAATCCAATTCTATCGCTTTGTTAAAATATTCCATTGCTTTATCAATATTATCATGCCATTGTAATTGCAGTAAGCCTCTTGTTTCAAGAATAACCGCATACTCCGGATATTTCACTATTGCTTTAGCAAGACAAGCATCAGCTTTTTTAAAGTTTAGGCATAGTTCTGTTTCAGACATTATCTAAAAAAATAATTGAAAATGTCATCAATGAATCAAAATGTGTACAAAATAATGGTAATTTCTTATTCTTATTACTTCTCAATTCTATTTATTCTTTAAAAAAAAAACTATAAATAATCGTACGTACGTCAGCATACAACGTATAACAATAAATACTTTCAGGAGGATTTAGGAACCTTTTAAAAGCTCTTTCGAACTTTTTCACTACCACTCTGGTTAATCTTAAATCCAAATTCTCTTCCGCTAATTTAAAATCTACGTAACATGTAAGCAAATATGCCATTCCGAAGTTTGAATTGCATTCAACGGCTCTTTCAAAATCTCGCTTAGCATCGTCTAGTTTTTCCATTAACAAATATGTCTGACAAAAAAAAAATGATAAAAATATATTGTTACGTTATTTTATAATGTACATTTACATACATAATACAGAGAAAGTGCTTAATATTAATGTCTAATACCTGTCCTCTTTGATAATAGATATCACCATAACGTGCATTTATACTAATGGCTAATTCGAAGTCCTCGAAAGCGATTTCTAACATCTCGAGTTTCACGTACACACGCGCCCTTTTTATCAGAGCGCATATTTTTACGTCATCGGTTGCATCTTCACTATTTAGTATACTTTCAAAATCTCGAATTGCAGAAACGTAATCGCCCAAAAGTATATAAAATGTAGCCCGTAATAATAATACCTCTAGTTTAGACGAAGATAATTTATCAAATTCGTCACTTTTAATGATTTCTGTGCACAGTGGTATTATATCATCGTATTCTGCATTTTTTAACGCTTCTAACGGCTTCTTAAAAAATCTGATAATAAACGTTGTATTTATTAAAAAGTAAACACAATTATTAGAATAACACTTATCTATTCATACTTACTGGGGAAAATTTGTTGGATGTTGAAGTCTAGAAAATACTGGATCTTTAGGGAAATATTCAATGAATATTTTGATGGTATACTTACTTGGCAATAGAAACTTTCTGTTTGCCAAATTTTCTTGAACCTGTTGTTCCACTAAAAACAATTTTAACCTCAAGTTAATTTCTCTGTTTCTATGTTTCTCAATTTCTATTCAAATTTGCCACAAATACTGTTTTATTTAATACCAAGTTTGACATATAATTTACCAAGCTTTACATAGATCTCATGTAGTTTTAAAAAGGAAGTTTTATTCGAAACATCTTCGTGGATACACACGATAAACGAATCTTTCAAAGCGGCTTCCAAGTCCCCTGTTTGCTCCAAAGCACGTGCCCGACGTAGCAAAGCTTTAGTATATTTTGAATTTAGTTCCAACGCTTTTGTACAATCTGCCTCAACAGAACTGTATTTTTTCTACAAGTTGCAATTACAATATAATTATGTAAACAGACACACACCACATTGATTTTAACAATTGAAATGATTTTTATATCATGTTTATTATTACTATCAATAATTTTATTACCAATTGTTCATTTGCAGCCGCTCTATTTTGATAAAAAATCGCAAGGTCATCCACTTTTTCCTTTGGACATATGTCGATTGCTTTATTATATTCAGCAATAGCTTCATCATATTGTCTCATTTTGAAATGTACATTTCCTATGTATTTATATTTCTGTGCCCTTTGCAAAAGAGTCTAGAACGAAAGAGTTTGCTTGCATCAGTCATGAATGTGATCATTGGTGATCATCTTTTAATTTATGATAATTTCAGTAATTATATAGAGTGTCCGGAAAATCGAGGCCAATACTTTGAGAAGTAATTCGGGAGCCAAAAAGGAGAAAAAAAAGCTATAAACATACATTCGAAAATAAGTCGTTTCCGATTTCTAATCACTTTTATGTTAAAAAATTGAAATTTATTTTTCATAATTATAATCATAATTGATTCATATCTGGTGATCTTGGGGGCTAGGTAATTAGAACCTTCACGCCCTATCCATCTCTGGCCATAATTTCGATTCAAATGATCTCTGGCTACACGGCTGAAATGCGCGGATTCATGCATGAACCATATGTTTTATTAACCGTATTATTAAAGGGACGTTTTCAAGAAAGTGACCTAACTCTTCTCTAAGAAATCGTACATAATTGTTGAAACACTGTGAAATAAATTATAATTGTAATTATGAAAAATAAATTTCAATTTTTTAACATAAAAGTGATTATAACTCGGAAACGACTTATTTCGGGACCTGTGTTTATATAGCTTTTTTTCTCCTTTTTGGCTCCCGAAGTATTGGCCTCGATTTTCCGTACACCCTCTATAATGCCATGGAAAACAACGAATTATTTCGTTGAAATTTCTAAAAGATAATATATACTATAAAAGTTCTATCAATTGATGAGAAAATCTATTATCATGTGCAAATTGTACATTTTATTATATCTCATTATTATAAAGTTTAGTAGTATTTGCAGTCAATATTTATAGAAGATTATCGCTTGTAATTAATAGAACATTTAGACATCAATAGTACATATATTGATATCAATACGTTGAAAAGGAAATATATAGTTTTGTTTTTAGGAACTAAGAAACAGACGTTCATGTAAGAGATCAACTTTTTTAATTTCGGATAAATGGATTTTCGCAATCTATTAAACTCTTCCAGACAAGTGATCTTAACCTTTTGCTCAGTCAGAGGAGAAGATTTAGATGGTCCATCCTTGCTTCTTGTATCAAAAGTACCACCTTTGCTGCTATGTTCCATCTAAAAGTATAATTTCGCAATAGAGAAAATGACACAATCACATTTTTTTTTAATAACTTTTAAATATAATCCTCAATCTCAGTATAATCTCTTTATCTTATAAGTTTTAAGTAATTGTTTAGGTTAATAGTAATAAAACTTATTAATTAATTAATTTGATATTGATTTAATATCAATTTTAATTAATTTGTTTTAAGAAATTATTTCCAAACTGTTTTACAAAAATATTTAAGACCAGCTAAATATATTTTTCTTTTTTTTTCCAGCTTTTTATTTAAGTAACTCTGAATAAAATAATCCACTCTTGAAGATTCTAAAAATATTTTCTTTTAATCCTAATTTCAAAATAAAATAGACATTAGTTATACAATGATATTTCAGACCCTGTATTGTCATTCCATATTATAGATGCATAACAAACGAGGGACTTTAAAAGTTTTCATACAGGACAAATAAAAATTTATAGCTTGACCGATTAAAGTTCTTATTTCCTAAAAATTTATATTTAAAGAAGAACAAATTCCAGAGTCTCTAGATGCAGCCTTGTGAACAATATTATAAAAAATGAGAATTTTTTTGATTATTTATCATAATAAATAATCAAAATAATTTTAATCAATTAATTATGTAAAATTATAAATATAATATTATAAAACGTATCGGGTTACAGAATCTTCATCAGTTAACAAATTGAAACTTTCAAATTCTACATTGTAAACTAACTATGAGGTGTCAAGAGACCAAGTCAATAAATCAGACATTCTTTTTGTATATGTCATCATTAGAGAGTAAGAAACACACCATAAACAATGATAAAAATTATTTAAAGACTCTATAAGCCGAGACGTTTTAATATATTCTATTAATTTTATTAATTGATTAAAATTGTTTTAATTATTTAAATATCCTATTTGTTCGTTTTTAGTCATTTCAAACTTTTATATTTTAATAAAATAAGACTCTATAATAATAAGAATAAAACAAAGCAGAATAATTGAAGATACATAAGAGCCAGGTATGTAATAAAGAACGCTTAATTTAAAAACATAAAAATAATTACATAAACAAATATTTCGATGTCGATCAGGTCATTCTCAATGTAACAATAAATACATTCTAATTACAAAATTATTGGAAATCTATAAAATATTGCTTTTATATTTTACTTTGTAAATATACAAGTGTTACTTTTACATGTTTATTTAAAATAAAATACATACGAATTACCTAGATACAGCAAAAAATTAAAAGTAAACGTAATAGCGTTTCGTCACTCTTCATAACTATTTTTGTAATTATCAATGACGTGATTTGAATTTTTGCTATCAAATAGTATCTATTACTACAAACAAAACTTAGCGCTCTCTCTTTCTAAAACACTGTCATATCTCTTGGCTTGCGTTCCGTTGCATGCATAATGCGCACGAAAAAAAAAACATTTTATCCTTGTTTAACACTGTGAACAACAAGGATAATATATGGCTGCTTTCCAGCTACGACACAAGTAGACACTGTGTTAGCGGGGAGCACAGACTTTTGCATAACGCATAAAGCATGTGCATAAGGAATTTCATTGGTCCATTTTCTTATGCATGAGTCAATGGACCAATCAAATTCTTTATGTATATGGTTTATGCGTTATGCAAAAGTCTGTGCTCCCCGCTTAACACAGTGTCTGATTCTGTCCTTGCTGGAAAGCACCCAAAATCAGTTCAATACTTCCCTCTCACCTCCTCCCACAACTGTGTAAATACATTCGAACCTACGCTCGAAAACATCACTCAAATGCCCGTATATTATTTTATCCTTCTTGTTCATCTAACAAATACACGAAGGCACCCAGATGACGCTTCCAAACGCAGCCCAAGAGAGAACAGGAGAGGGAAACGTATTAAATTCGAAATCAGCTTGATTTACGAAGATCGTTAGCTTATGTCAGAACCAGTAAAGTTCAACACAGTAATCTCAATGCTTTTGTTCATGATTATTGCTAACACGGTCCGAACAAAGAGACACATACGCGTACCTTGGCATTGTTAGATACCTTCTTCTTCTTATTTTCCCTCTTTTTCTTCTTATGTCCCATGGATTTTGGCTGAACGTTGTTGGACATGTTTTTTTCGCCGTGCACATTATCTGCCATCTTTCAGAACGTGCGTACGACTCTCGCATTCACGACTAACGAACACTAGCGTCTTTATTACAATCGCGTTTATAAATATTTTTATAAAAACAAACTCAGTGTAAAATATACCGATGCTTGCCAGCAGCCTTCGTCTTCTTTGGGGAAGATACTTTCAAATAGTATAGGGGCTACGCAGAATAAAAGGAATAGGGAAGAGAGAATAAGCATTTCAACCTATCAGAAATCATATACTCAACCAATCAGAGTTCGCCCTCAAATGCTAAGAAGTGACATGGCTTCTTCCATACATGCAGCATAGCTGACTAGCTGTCAAACTATATTGATATTGAACATCGTTTAAATATCGTTTGAATATCGTTTATTCATTTAGTTTAGTTTTGTATAATATATTATAGTTTGCAGAAATGCCAGCGTATCCGAGATTATAAAAAATATATATGTTCGGTTACGTTGCTCATAGATTCCGCAATCGTATAGTGATTTGGGAGTTCCCACGAAAAATTTGCCAAATCCATCATATAACGATTGGATTTGCACGATATCCCGAGGAAATTGCAATGTATCTCTCTGAAAAGCTGCAAAATGTAACAGAAATTATAGATGATGAATTTTTTAAATTTCACGGTACTTCTTTCAGTAAAGAAAACTTTTGATAAAACAGATGTATAATGTAAATTTAGTATTTTATTATTATTCTTACATATTTACTTTCATATATTGTTGTATTACACGGTTTTTTAGAGCATTATTAAGTATTAATAGTCTGATCTTAGTACAGCGTTTGAATCTCGTGCAACATTTAGGGGCGAAATTTGATTGGTTGCTCCAGTATTCAGTCGCCATTATGCGCAATGGTACACCTTGTTTTCTTACATCATGGAATAAACAGTGTGCTGTGTGTATTCCACAGTACATGATTTCTGATAGGTTGAAATTCTTATTCTCTGTCCCTCTTATTCTGCGCAGTCCTAATGTATATGTAGGGAATTCCCCAACCTTACTACCAAAGCCCATCTACTCCCACAGTCCCACTACTCGCAGAGTGACCGTGATAAATGTGCGAGCAAGAAAGACATCTCAATAGGTACGTTCAGTGAGCCCGGATCCTCATACGGGCAACAGCGCTTTGACACCAAACGCTGATTGGTGAAAAACCGGTGGCGAGGGTAAAATTTACCCCCATAACCCGTTTTTCACCAATCAGCGTCCGGTATCAAAGCGCTGTTGTCCGTATGAGGATCCGGGCTTACTCAACAGTTGAGTGAGCGCTCGCTGTTATTGGTGTATTCTTCTAGATCTAAAATTCTGATTGGATGATCTACAAAAATACACCAATAATAGCGAGCGCTCACTTAACTGTCGAGTCCGCTGAACGCGCCCAATGGCGATGGATTCTAACAGAAAGTATGTTCACGTTGATATATTTTCTGCACTATCTTCATTTTCTCTCTTTTCAACGCTCAAATATATGAGGCTATTATGCGCAATAAATATACAAGTCTACACTTATACGAGGTTGTGAACCCAACCTAATATAATACGAAGATTGGAGGATTAAATAGGAGGCCAATTAAAACACATTATTTCAATTTTTATTATTTTGTACATTTTTATTTCATATAAATTTGACAAATAAAAAATAAAGAAATTTTAATTCCTGTTAATTTGATTGGTCAAATTTCAATCTTTAATCTCTATCTTAGTCTCATTTTACAGCTTTAGATATTGTGACCCAGAGAAGACCGAAACATTGCCCTACCTAATTATATATACGTATATCATATACTGTTTTACTAACTACTAAAGAGAGAAGTTAAGAGATTTTAAAAACTTTATAAATCTTGCACACAAAATATAAATGTCAATATTTACGCACACAACAAACTTACAATCTTACAAAATAAATTCAAATCATTCTGAAAAGTCGATTACAAACTTCAGTTGCTAACAAGTATTAAAGACTTTTATATATGCAGTATACACACAAAATGTAGTTAAAACAGTGTTTCAATATAAAAAAAAAAACTTGAACTTTTAATATAAAATAATAATGCATACTTTAATCTTTAGGACACTTATGCGCGCACATATGCGTGTATGTATCGTGTTCAAAAGTGACATCTTAATATAAAATCTTAACTTAGCACACATTTGCTGTAATCTTCTGTTTCTTCCAAGTATTTGTAAAGTAGTAAATCAAGATTAGGATTGAAAGAATAAGAATGTGTAAACTGATTTTTTACTTTAAGTTCTACAGTTGCTAGTTCTCTGAAACAGTATACGCGTAGCAGTTTCTTAAATTCATGACAGTATACTAAACTTTTATCGAACAATCTTACTGCTTCTTCTATGTTTCTCCTAAGTTAAAAAAAAATAGATTCAGAATATTTTTTATTAAAATATCTTTTTTAATGTAAGTCACATATTATTCAAGAAATTATTACTTGAATAATACTATTCAAGTACAGTAATTATGAGAAATGATTGTAAACATACCTTCTTAATTCTAAGACTCCTAACGCTTCATATGTACCACTGCAATTTTTATCTAATTCTATTGCTTTGTTAAAATATTTCATAGCTTTATCCAAATTACAGTCCCAATGTAATTGCAAAATGCCTCTCTGTTGATAGACTAGAGCTATAATAGATATGTCCTTCGGATATTTCTTTATTATTTTAGTAAAATAAATATGAGCCTTTTGATATTGTCGAGTTTCGGACATCATCTAAACATAATTAAAAATTTCAACAATGAATCAAAATGTATGCGGTGTAAATGATAATTTATAATATCCTATATTTTGTCATTTCAATTATTTTTCTTAAAAAATTATAAGTAGTTGTATATACCTTACAACAAAAAAGATAATAAAATGTACATTCAGGAAGATTTGTACACTTTTCGAAAATTTTCTCGAAAGCTGTCACAGTCGCTTCGACTAATCTTACATCTTTATTTAACATCGCAATACGATAATCTATGTAGCATTTATGTATGCATGCCATGCTAAAGTTTGGATTATATTCAAGAGCCTTTTCAAAATCACACTTAGCTTCATTTAATTTGCCACAGGATATATATAACTGAAATTATAACATAATCTTTTATTAATTTTTACTAGTACTTTTTTAAACATGGCCGGAGACACTACCGCGTCTCCTAATGTTGTCACATTATTTTATATGTATGTTTACATGCATGCGAAAAAAAATAAGCTTAATGTTAATGAGCTTAATACCAGTCCTCTGTGATAGTAAATATCACTATAATGCGGATTTATACTAATGGCTAATTGAACATCCATGAAAGCTATTGCTAGATTCATGTTCATGTAATTTAAATGAGCCCTCTTTATCAGGACGTTTATTTTTACATCATCGGATACATATTCGCTGTTCAGTATACAATCAAAATCTTGAATTGCAGGATCGTGCTCGTCCAAAAGTGCGTAAAATGTAGCTCGTAACAACAACACCTCTAGTTTAGTTGAAGTTAATGTATCAAATTCCGGACTTTCAATAATTTCTGTGCACAGCGATATTATATCACTGTATTCTTCGTTCTTTAACGCTTTTAATGGTTTCTTTAAAAATCTGATAAGAAATACATTAAAAAATAAACATTACAATCACACAAAAACAATATTCTGCTCAGACTTACTCTGAAATATTTTCTGGACACTGAAGTTTAGAAAACACTGGATCTTTAGGAAAACATAAAATATACATTTTCACCAAAGGTTTACTTATAATTCTTATAAATAACTTTCTGTTTCTCCAATTTTCTTCAGCGTGTTGTCTTCCTAAAAATAATTATAATTGTAATTCAAACTTCTGTTATGTTTCAAATCTTATTCTAGTCCGTCATGAATAAAGTTTTACTTGATACACAAAGTATTTTTAATATATAACTCACCAATCTTTTCAAGGATTGTTTGTTCCTTTAAAACGGAAATAAAATTAGAAAATCTTTCATGAATACACGCGATATGTATATCCTTCAAGGCTGCTTCCAAATCCCCTGTTTGCTCCAATACACGTGCCCGACGTAGCAAAGCTTTGATATATTTTGGATTTAGTTCCAATGCTTTTGTACAATCTGCTTTCACAGAACTATACTTTTTCTGTAAATTGTAATTACAATTCTACACACAGTAAACACGTATACCATCATTAACTTCAACAATAAATTGATATCAAATTTTCACAGTATTAAGTTATCACGAATATCGTCAATAATCTTATTACCAATTGCTCATATGCAGCTGCTCTATTTTGATAAAAAATCGCAAGTTCATCTTTATTCTCCTTGGGACAAATTTCGATTGCTTTATTATATTGAGCAATGGCTTCTTCAAATTTTTTCATTTTAAAACACACATTTCCTTCGTTCTTATACTTCTGTGCTCTTTGTAAAGGGGCCTAAAACAGAAAAATTTGCTTGCATCAAACACTGAAGCACTACCTCTTTAATGTAATGTTTTTATACACACGCACGCACATAATGCCATTATGGAAAGTGTCTCGAGTTATTTCATTGAAGTTCTAAGAGATCAATTTATTTTCTCTCTCTCTCTCTCTCTCTCTCTCTCTCTCTCTCTCTCTCTCTCGCTCGCCCCCTCCCTCCCACCCTCTCCGCGCGCGCGTGTATGTATTTCATAATTTTATCAAGTTCAACTATATATGATATTTACAGACAATATGTTATTTACTAAAGATTATCGGTCGTAATAACGACGACATTTAGATATATTAATGGTATATTATCATTATCAACATAAGGAAAATATGTTAAAGATGGATATTAAAATCTTGATATTTTTAGAATCTAAGACGTAAACACTCATATGATGAGATACCACAAAAATTATTAATTACGGACAAATATATTTTCGCAATGAATGAAGGACGATTCCATATAAAGTTTTTTAACCTCCGACTCTGCTGTGGGAGAAAGCACTTCGGGTGGCTCATCGCTATTAACAGAGATATGTTTGTCGAATTCTACGGCATTTTGTTTATCAAATCGAAAGTATGACAGAAGGAAATGGATAATATGTCCAAATTGATTATTTCTATCAAGATGCATCTTTATAGCGTGTACACTGTATATGTACAGCATTTCCTTGAATGTACGACAAAATGCTAAAGCCTTCTCAGATAATTTTATTGCTTCCTCCATGTTTCCTCTGAAAGAAAAAATGAATTTAAAATATTTTCATTAAATATCATCAGGTTCTTTACGTAAATACATAACTGCTGATAATTTCTTTTGAAAATTTTAACGCACAATAACTGTAAGAAACAATTATATTTGAAAACATACCTTTGTATTTCGATCGTTTTTAGTATTTCAATACATCTGAGCTTGCCTCCAATAGAACATGTCTCCAATTTTAATGCTTTATTCAAGTATTTCTCAATGTCATCAATATTACTGTTCCACAATAACAAATAAATAATTGCGTAATCTGGATTTTTCTTTATTGCTTTAATAAAATAAGTATCAGCCTTTTGGTACTGTTGAGCTTTGGACATTATCTATAAAAATTGAAAACTATAAATAAAATATTGTAAAATAAATAAAAATGTGTATAACGCAATATCAACGCTTAATCACTATTACTTTTTTTTTAATTTTAATTTTTTTCATCCCAGATTATAGGTATATAATTATACGTACCTGAGCATATAAAACATAACAACATATACATTCAGGAGAATTTGAGTACTTATCAAAAGCTTTTTCAACGTCTCTCACAGTCATTTCAGCTAAATTTAAATCTTTGTTCAATACCGCAAAATGATAATGCGTATACCATTTTTGCATGTGTGCCGCACTGAAGTTTGGATTGCATTCAATGGCCTTTTCAAAATCGCGTTTAGCTTTGTCTAGCATTTGAATGGCCAAATATGCCTTAAATAACAAAATAGTATCGTTACACTGTTTCGTAATACGTAATGAAATTACATGTATGTGACAAGAAAAACATGCTCAATGCATAATATACCTGTCCTCTATGATAGTAAATATCGCAACAACTTGGATTTATGGTAATAGCTAATTCCAAGTCATTGAAAGTAAAATGTTGCAATCCGATTTCTCGATGTAGATTTGCTCTTTTTATCAAGGCGTTTACCTTTACGTTATCATGTGCATCTTTGCTAGATAAAATAATTTTAAAGTCATCGCGTGCATCATCATACTTTCTCCAAAATAAGTAAAATGTAGCTCGTAATAACAGCACCTCTAGTTTAGAGGAAGGTAATGTATCAAATTCGGGGCTTTCAATGATTTCTGTGCACAGCAGTATTATATTATGATACTCTCCGTTTTTTAATGCTTGTAATGGTTTCTTGAAAAATCTAATAACAAATGCATTAAAAATTGAACGTCACAATTACATAAAAACATTCTTTTTTCCTATTACTTACTCTGGAATATTTTCTGGACATTCCAGTCTGGAAAGTACTGGATCTTTCAAGAAAGCTTTAATATAATATATTTCTATGGCATGCGTAGTTAGCATAAAAAAGTTTTCGCGTGACGAGTTTCTGTCGACTTGTTCCACTGAAAATTTTGATTATAAGTCGTAATAATATTTCTGTTATTTTTCAATCTTGTTCTAGTCCGCTATAAATAGTATTTTATTTAATACTAAAAGGTACTTTTAATATGTAACTCTCACCAAGCTTTTCTAACATCATTTCAGCCTTTAAAAGGGAAGCTTGATCAGAAAAGTTTTCGTGAATACAGGCGGTAGACATATCCTTCAAAGCGGATTCTAAATCACCGGTTTGTTCCAAAACTCGTGCCCGACGTAGCAAAGCTTTAATGTATTTTGGATTTAGTTCCAATGCTTTTGTACAATCTGTCTTTACAGAACTATATTTTTTCTGAAAGTTGCAATTACAATCGTACATACAGTAGCACTTATATTACCACCAACTTCAATCAATCGAAATCAATTAATTCTTATGTTAAGCTTATTATGAATTCATCAACAATCTTACCAACTGTTCATACGCAGCAGCTCTATTTTGATAAAAAATTGCGAGTTCATCCTTATACTCCTTAGGACAAATGTCGATTGCTTTATTATATTGAGTAACGGCCTCATTATACCTTTCCGTTTTGAAATATATATTTCCTTCGTTTTTATACTTCTGCGCTCTTTGTAAAGGGGTCTAAAACAAAAGAATTTGTTTGCATCATTAAAGTAAGGGAGAATGTCCTAAATCGGACCTTTTTAATTTAAATAAATACGGTTAAGCAGATTTGCGTACTATTTATAACGAAAATCCTTATGGGACACCGAACATGTGACAACAGTTTGGCAGTACTCTGTCGTTTACAGAATAGACGCAAATATGTATTTTCGGCTATCATGCAAACATTTTTTTAAAATAGAAAATCTTGTAAATTATTATTTAAAAGATGTTAAAAATTTTGAACGGTAATTGATTTAAGATAATTAAAGAGTGTAAAACTCAAAAATATCAAGAGTCTTGTGATTATTTTTGTGGTTTATTGTAAAATTTATTTCATCGTTCGAAAGAATCCGTGTTTCAAATCGAACCTCTCTTTGAGTATCCAAATCGGACTTATACAAAAAAACACTAAAAAGGCAAGTAAGCTAGCTAATTCATCGCAGAAAGGTTTGCTACAACCTGGTAGTATTGGTGATCGACCGACCAGATCTGGTCTAAGAAACAATAAATCAATAAAATATCATATGTCATTAGACTCAGATTGATGGAATTTTTTATTGATTTTAATTCTAATAATATAAACTGTATTTTTATCTTTGAGTCTTAAATTGTTCGTTTTTAGTCAATACTAACAAAATTTAATTAAAATATTTTTAAATTCTATCCTAAAAAAAGTTCATAAAAATAGGAGAGGTCCAATTTGGAACTCATAGTTCCAAATCGGACTGGAAATTGCATTTTTCCTTTTTTACATTACACAGGTAAGAGGTATGTTAAAATGGTCTCAAGCAAAAATGAAGAAAATTAAATGATCTTTCGAACGACATCATTAGTTTTATGATATATCGGACTTTATTTACGCCTTGTTAAGAACAATAACTGCAAATAGGTTCGATTTAGATCACTCTCCACTATTACCTTTTTAATATTTACGGTAAGTTTATAGATAAATATAATGCGCCATTATTATATATATGGGGCATTCCACGCCAAATCGGCCACTCAAAAAATTTGGATTTTTGATTTGGCTGAAATTTTGATATATTATAGTACCCCATCGCAAGAAGCTATCATGATTTTTTTTTAATTTTTTATGAACATAGTTATGAGATATAAATTTTTTTAAAAACTCGCATTTTTCAAAATTCGCAATCTTCAAATGCCTATAACTTTGCGAAAAATAATCCAAATAAAACGTTTTTTTTTTTTTAAATTGTGTGTTTTTTTCTCTAGTTTTCAAAAAAAATATCAAGAAAAGTTTCAAAATTGTTTTTTAATTTTTTTTTTAATTTAATGTAAAAAATTATTAATTTTTTAAAATATGACACGTTCAATTTTTTTAAAAAAATTCTCATAAAAACTTTTATTTGATAATTTTTAAGACTAATTTGATCGTGGGCAAATTTTTCCTTCTATTTTTTTTCGAATTAATTTTTTTTTAATTTTGCATTATTTTACACGATAAAATAATATATAGGTATAAACTCGTGACTTTTTCTTTTTCTAAAATTTTCGGTTCATTTTCAATGTAATAACTTATTTTTTTATATTTACCTATTTAAAAAAAAGTGTTTCCGTGATGGATATTACTTTTATATTAAAATTATCGTTTTCTTATTATGAATTTTTTTACAATATAATTTTTCATTTTTATAAATTGTTACTATTGTCCAATCTTATTTGTAAGAGTACGGCTACACTTCTGCATGCAAGAATTAAGCTTGCATCTACAATTACTAAAGTAATTGTAATTGTACATGCAAGCTTAATTCTTGTAAAGTAATTGTACAATTACTTTAGTAATTGTACATGCAAGCTTAATTCTTGTATATGTAAGAAGTATAGCCGTACTCTTACAAATAAGATTGCACAATAATAACAAAAATTATATATAAAATTAGACTCTCGAAAATTTCAAATAAATAGTTTACCAACCATATATGGTTTTGATTGTTGACGATGAGAGTGACCACTTTCCTACTTCTCCATGACTTTTTCGCGAATATACTACTGAGGATGGCTCGGATGTAAGCCGAAACGTTTAGTAATGTAATATATTTTTTAATTGCTAATAAATATTTGTTTTTATAATTTCACAATACTAACAGCGATTATACTCACAATAATAACAATTTATAAAAATGAAAAATTATATTGTAAAAAAAATTCATAATAAGAAAACGATAATTTTAGTATAAAAGTAATATCAATCACAGAAACACTTTTTTTTTAAATAGGTAAATATAAAAAAATAAGTTATTACACTAAAAATCAACCGAAAATTTTAGGAAATGAAAGAGTTACGAGTTTATACCTATATATTATTTTATCGTGTAAAATAATGCAAAATTAAAAAAAAATTAATTCGAAAAAAAATAGAAGGAAAAATTTACCCACGATCAAATTAGTCTTAAAAATCATCAAATAAATCTAAGTTTTTATGAGAATTTTTTTTTTAAATTAAACGTGTCATACTTTAAAAAATTAATATTTTTTACATTAAATTAAAAAAAAAATTAAAAAACAATTTTGAAATTTTTCTTGATATTTTTTTTGAAAACTAGAGAAAAAAACACAATTAAAAAAAAAACGTTTTATTTGGATTATTTTTCGCAAAGTTATAGGCATTTGAAGATTGCGATTTTGAAAAATGCGAGTTTTTAAAAAAATTCATAACTCATGACTATGTTCATAAAAAAATTCAAAAAAAATCATGGTAGCTTCTTACGATGGGTACTATAATATATCAAAATTTCAGCCAAATCAAAAATCCAAAAGTGGCCGATTTGGCGTGGAATGCCCCATATATCCCGCAACTACCGCATTTAATCTTAAGAACGTAGTTTTGAGAAAATTTTATGAGAGAAATTCTAATAAAAAAATGTCGAGGCTATAATAGTTTTTAAATTAATCGCATTTAAATTTCACTAATCATAGAGCTGAGATTTCGCGCGCTCAGGCATGACGATATGACAAGTGGTGAATGTACCACGAGAGCCCCATAAACATGCAATATTTTTCAGAATGTTGTTTGAAAAAACATTTGTACATTTTTAATTATACACACATGTGCGTAATTAATATGCATAATTAATCTCGGGAAATAGTATATCGTAAAATATCAATTCAATAGCAAAATATTACGATATCAGCTGTCAAAATAAATTCGTAACTATGTTCATTTGTCTCGCATGGTAAACATTTTTGTGATAATATCGATAAACTATTTTTGACGTAAAATAAAATTATTATAATTTTACAATATGGAATACACAAATGAAGAGTAATGTGACATGTTACTCATTTATGGCGAATGTGACAGAAATTCACATGAGGCTAGACGTATGTATGTGGAACGTTACCCTAATTATACACATATGTGCGTAATTAATAGTTAAAAATAATATAAATAATAATAGTTAGAAATACGTTTGCATCTGGGTGTCTACGATTAGGGTAACGTTCCACATACATACGTCTAGCCTCGTGTGAATTTCTGTCACATTCGTCATAAATGAGTAACATGTTACAATACTCTTCATTTGTGTACTCCATATTGTAAAATTATAATAATTTTATTTCTGTTACAATTTTATTTTACGTCAAAAATAGTTTATCGATATTATCACAAAAATGTTTACCATGCGAGACAAATGAACATATAGTTAAATTTATTTTGACAGCTGATACATAACGTAATATTTTGCTATTGAATTGATATTTTACGATATACCATTTCCCGAGATTAATTATGCATATTAATTACGCATATGTATGTATAATTAAAAATTAAAAATGTACAAATGTTTTTTCAAACAACTTTCTGAAAAATAATGCATGTTTACGGGGCCCTCGTGGTACATTCACCACTTGTCATATCGTCATGCCTGAGCGCGCGAAATCTCAGCTCTATGATTAGCGAAAATAAGGAAGTCTTAAATATAAGGTCTGACTATGAATGCGGGCCTCTTAATCTATCATTTTAATATTTTTGAAATTCAAGAAGCGAACGTTCATAAGCGCAAAAGATACAAGAGAGGATTTATTTTAAATTAAAAATCCTCCCTGATTTTGAATTTCGGACAAATATGTTTTCGCAATCAATGGAGAACGCTTTCATATAAGGCACAATGATGTCTTAACTTCCAACTCGGTTGCAGGAAAAAGTAATTTGGATGGCCCATTGATGTCTATAGAGATATGTTTGTCGGTTACCTCCGCATTTTGTATATCGATGAATCGAGAGTAGTACGACCGAAGAAAATGTATGATATATGTCATTCGTTCTGCAAGACTTCCACGTATACGTATGATATCTACACTGTACATGTATAGCATATCTTTGAATGTATGACAAAATGCTAAAGCCTTCTCAGATAATTTTATTGCTTCCTTCACGTTTCCTCTGAAAAAGAAAAAAAGAATTTAAAACATTTTTATTAAAATTTCACCATATTCATGTAAGCCACATATATAAATGCAAATAATTCCTTTCAAAAATTGCAACGTACAATAAATGTAAGAAATATTTATAATAAAATACGTACCGTTTTATTTCGAGAAATTTTAATATTTCAATGCACATAGTCTTTCCTTCAACAGAGCATGTCTCCAATTTTAATGCTTTATTCAAGTATTTCTCAGTGTCATCAATATAACAGTTCCACAATAACAAATAAACAATTGCGTAATCTGGATTTTTCTCTATTGCTTTAATAAAGTAAAATAAGTATCAGCTTTTTGGTACTGTTCAGCATTGGACATTAACTATAAAATATAAATACTAAAATAACGCTTGTTATATTTTAAAAACAAAAATGTGATATTGTAATGTCGGTATTATAAACATCTAACAGTTAATATAGATAACAACGTTTTAAAATTAGACGAATCATAAAGATACTTTTTCTGAAAGATACTTGTCATTTTTATCGAATCACCCTTTATCACAAAAAATTGGTGTTATTTATGGTATGGTTGATAGAACACTACTGTCTAATTCTGAATTTCATATTAAAAATATTGAGTTTTGCACCACAATTTCATTGAATAACAATTATCCCTTGAAGTTGATTTTTAATAAGATACAAAAAAGAATTGATTTTATATTAAATTTTAAATTACATACAACACAATTTGAGAATCAAAGTAATTGTATTGATATTCCTAACAAAAAACTTTTTGTATTACCATATATCCCAAAAATTACAAATATTACATCAAATTTAAACAATGATGTATTTACTATAGGAATTAAGAGTAATAAATTAAACAGAATTATTAAAGCTCATAAAGACAATACGGCGGATACTTTACAAAAGAACAATGTCGTTTATAAAATTAATTGTAATGATTGTAATTCTTCATATGTTGGCCAAATTAAGAGAAAATTGATTACAAGAATAAAGGAACATAAATACAACATAAGAGGAGATCCTTCGAAATATTCTGTTTTGTCGGAACATAGCATTCAATATGATCATATTTTTGACTGGAACAATGTTCAAATAATGGATGTTGAATCTCATTGTAATAAAAGACTAATTTCAAAAATGCTTTCCATTAAAAAAACAGGAGAATGGTAGATACAAAAAGACACTGAAAAATTAGACAAAACATATGACTCTGAGGTAGTGAAATTGCCTTGTCAAGTCATGTACACAGGATGTTGATGTGTGATGATACGATATATTTATTATCTCGCAGTTTTTGAACATGGCCGGAGACGCTACCGCGTCTCCTGATAAAATGTACAATTTTTCTCTTCTAGAAGTGTACATGACTTGACAAGGCAATTTCACTACCTCAGATTTTTATCGCACGAGTCAACTGGTATTTCTTTCATTATAAACATATGACTGTTTGTTTTGATTATTACCATCTTAATAACAAACAAGTTTTGACATTTCGACAACCAAATCATATATCAGGAGACGCGGTAGCGTCTCCGGCCATGTTCAAAAACTGAGGGACGCTACAAATCTCTTATCCCGAGCCACCAAAGTCCATTTTTGGTTCCTTTATTCTTGTGACAACTGTTTTACATAGAACATCTGTGTTTGACTATATCATTTTTATTGGAAGAAAGAAAATTGAACATAGAGCATCTGAAATTTCCATAAGTTCTATACACTGAGTTATTGTTATTCTCTTTTTACTATTTTATCAATTTAAAACTTATAATGTTATCTCAGAATCATGATGCGGATATCACTTTATGGGATAATTTTCTTTCACTAATGACTTTGACTAAAAGAAGATGGCTATTAGACGGATTTTCATATATTTTATTTTTTAATGTTAGTTCTTATATTGATTATATGACTGAAGAGGACTTCTGTATGAGTCAAAATGTTTCATAATTTGATTAATGAGATGATTATTAATAAAAATTGTTCATCTGATTTTTCCTTGCTTGTTTATAATTAACCGACATTACAATATCACATTTTTGTTATTATCTATAAAAATTGAAAACTATAAATAAAATATTGAAATAAATAAAAATGTGTACAACGCAATATTAACGCTTAATCACTATTCTTTTTTTTTTATTTTAATTTTTTTTCATCCCAGATTGTAGGTATATAATTATACGTACCTGAGCATACAAAACATAACAACATACACATTCAGAAGAATTTGAATACTTATCAAAAGCTTTTTCAACGTCTCTCACAGTCATTTCAGCTAAATTTAAATCTTTGTTCAATACCGCAAAATGATAATGCGTATACCATTTTTGCATGTGTGCCGCACTGAAGTTTGGATTGCATTCAATGGCCTTTTCAAAATCGCGTTTAGCTTTGTCTAGCATTTGAATAGCCAAATATGCCTTAAATAACAAAATAGTATCGTTACACTGTTCCATAATACGTGATGAAATGACATGTGTGCGACAAGAAAAACATGCTCAATGCATAATATACCTGTCCTCTATGATAGTAAATATCGCAACAACTTGGATTTATGGTAATAGCTAATTCCAAGTCGTTGAAAGCAAAATGTTGCAATCCGATTTCTTGATGTAGATTTGCTCTTTTTATCAAGGCGTTTACCCTTACGTCATCATGTGCATCTTTGCTAGACAAAATCATTTCAAAATCGTTGATTGCAGCATTATAATTCATCCAAATAGAGTAAAATGTAACCCGTAACAACAGCACTTCTAGTTTAGATGATGGAGATAACGTATGAAAGTTAGAGCTTTCGATGATTTCTGTGCATAGCGGTATTATATCATGGTACTTCTTATTTTTTAACGCTTGTAATGGTTTCTTCAAAAATCTGATAACAAATGCATTAAAAATTGAAAGTTAAATTTACAAAAAATATTCTTTTTGCCTATACTTACTCTGGAATGTTTTCTGGATATTTAAGTCTAGAAAGTATTGGATCTTTACAAAAAGCTTTAATATAATATATTTCGATGACATGCGTGGTTGGCATATAAAACCTTAATTGGTGTGTTGTACACTCTGGGACGTGTTGTTCCACTAAGAATAATTTTCATTGTAAGTCATATTTTTTATTTTTCAATTCATATTCTAATTTATTATAAATAGTATTTATTACTAAATGTTTTTTTAATGTACAACTCACCAAGTTTTTCCAAGATCATTTTTGCCTTTAAAAGTAAAATTTCATCAGAAAAGTTTTTGTAAATGCAAATAGTAGTGATATCCTTTAAAGCGGCTTCCAAGTCCCCTAATTGCATCAAAATACGTGCCCGACGTAGCAAAGCTTTGATATATCTTGGATTTAGTTCTAAGGCTTTTGAACAATCTGCCTTTACAAAATTATATATTTTCTGCAAATTACAATTATAGTTGTATAAATAGATTTACACCAATTAATTTTCACAATCAACTTAAATTTGATTTTTATGTTTTGCTTTTATTAACAGTATCAATCTTTTTACCAATTTCTCATACGCAGCTGCTCTGTTCTGATAAAGTATCGCAAGATCGTCGACGTTCTCTTTTGGACAAATGTCGATTGCTTTATTATATTGAGCAATTGCTTCATTATATTTTCCTGTATTAAAATGTACATTTCCTGCATTCTTATATTTCTGCATTGTCTGTAAAGGAGTCTACAACAAAAGTTTACTTGTATTCCGAAAGTGCTATTTCTTATCTTGCAGTTTATGATCATTTTATAAGAATATGTCTATAAGATATAGCTATTAAAAAAATACTCTAAAAGGTTTTAAAATATAATTTCTCACACAAAAAGACAAAAACTTCCAATGACTATACAGAGTGTCTCACAATTACAATTGCATTTTTTTCTTAAAGAACGTATTTTAAGATAATTTTATGACAAGAATTTAATACAAAAATGTCGAGGCTATAATAATAGTTTTTAAATTCAAATAATTAAGTTTTTAAATTAATCGCAATTAAATTTCATTAATCACAGAACTGACATTTCGCGCGCTCAGGCATGATGATATGACAAATGGTGATGTACATACATATCATATGAGGGCCCCGTTAACATATGCAATATTTTTCAGAAAGTTGTTTGAAAAATGTTTGTACATTTTTAAT